TTCTTGTGGTATGAATAGAACTTGAAAATACTTAAAATTTGAAAAAAGTTTTAGAGAAAAATATAGGGAATATAATTTATGGTCAGTAAAGTAAATGAAATGATCAGTAGAATAAATGAATGGTCAATTATTAAAATAACTGGTTCGTTAATATATTTAAAGGTCAGTAAATTAATTTAAATGGTAAGTATAAACAGCGAAATGTGTTATACTATCACCTCACCCGTGTAAACAGCGGCTTAGAGGCAATTAATAAAAGAAACAAAAATGATGAAATAATTAGAGAATGTCATGTTTTATGGAGATTTTTGACAATAGCTTCAAATAATGCCGATAGTTGGTGAACTGGACGAGACTCTTCTTCAATTAATGCAAAATATTTGTTACAGAATCAACAATATCTTCAGAATTGTAGACTTTATCCTATCAGTGGGCTAAATCAACAAAAAGCTTAGTTGGCCTTCCAAATGATGCTTCAGAATAATATTGTATTCGAGCTAGTCATTTACAATCGATTACATAAGTCGATTTAAATAAATATATAAATAAAAAAATTGACAACTTTTATTCAATACAAAAATCATTTAATATTTAGTGTTTGGAAATGAAACATGGCTCAGCTTGGAAAACATCAAATGCAACTGTTTAGGTTTTTTTGAAGAACTGCATATGCAAACACATTGTAGATGTGTCTGTTCATTTGAAATATTGTAAACCACTAGCAAAAAAAACGTCTCGATCAATGAGAAAAGAAAACAGAGGTAGACTAGTAAAGGCTAAACCTATATTGCTAGTATTATAATTGAATTTTCATTTTCTTTTTTGCTTTTATTCTTTGAATTTCCATATAATGACCTTTTAGATTTCTTCTTAGTTACTCATTGGTTTTTTTCTATTTATTTTAATTTATTTTTCTTATATAAATTAATCTTTATATGAATAAAGCTATTTCTTCTACTAATAAAATCTGCACTTTTACTGATCAAATTTGAAATTTTTACTGACACTTGTATATAGAAAACTGACCATTTTATGATTAATTACTGACCATCATACTACTGACAATTCAATATTTCTACTGATCATTTATATATTCTTTTACTGACCATTTCATTTATTTTACTGACCACTTAAATGATAGCCAAAAATATACAACATAATTTTCTCATAAGAAGACGCTATCTATTGAATATGTAACATTATCATATCTTATCTGTTGCAAATACTTTTGACTAAACAATCACATACACTTTGTCCGACACGAATCTTTTCACTATCAGACTATGTATCATGACATTGTCCATAATTTATCAAATATATCGTTTGATGTAATCAATAAATCGACGATGAGAGAGAGAGAGAGCAACATCTTATATCTTAGAGAAATCCATTCAAGGTAAGAGTACTATATTACTTATTAATATTACTTTATTACTTCGTATTGATTACTATTTATTAGTATTTGTTGCTAATGTCATTCATTACGTTTCTTTTTTTACTTCATGCTTTTCTTGTACTTCTTATCATGTTACTTGTTACTTTGATTATTTTCAAATTTATTATTTCATTACCAGTAAGAATTAGAAGAGCACTCCTATTTATCATTTGTCAGAGATTGTCATTAAGCGATGACAGACAAAATTTCTGTTGTCCTAGTAAATTTTGCACTAACACTGACATTAAAAACTTTTCTTTTTTATTCAAAATTTTTAATATTTCGTGCATTAGACATTAGATATAGACATAAGCTAAACTGGTTTATATCGCATTCTCTATAAATCTCGATAGCAATATTTATGTTTTTTTTATTAAGGCTTCTCTCTCTCTCTCAAAACTTGATCTCAGTTCAGGTACATCCAAATTGACTGAAATTTTCAAGATATGTTGGGGCTATAGTGAAGAAGCTATGTTAAAATTTTCAGCTCCATAACATAACGTTAGACGGAGATATTGACCAAACAGGGGTCAAAAATAGCTCACGTGGCAACCCAAATTTCTCGGTCCAGACTCATTCGATATATTTAAATTCTTTTTTTTGTTTGAAAGAGAATATCAAGATGCAAGATACCACAGAGTCCTTTTTTTTTAATTCTTATTTTTTAAGCGGAGAAAAGGGGTCACAAGTTCAATGACTCAAAAAATCCTCTACAAATGGGCTCCAATTTACATAAGTATTGACATATCAGGGCTCGAAATTGGCCGTCTGACCCGACAAGATTTTTTTGCTGGGTCAGACGAGCCGGCCCGACAAAATTCTATTTTTTTCTTCAATGAAATTGTATAGATGTCATCAGATTTCGAAATGATTAAAAGGTATTATCATGAGCACTTCTGTCGAGCTAACAGATCCGCCAGAAATAATGGTCACGCTTCGCATTTTCAATTTTCATTTACTTAATATATTGTATTAATAAAACAAAATATACCAAAAGATGCAGCGTGAAAAGCTCTACAATTTACATAAAACTGCAATTTTTATAGTTGCACTTTTTGCTTTTCAAAATCGACAAAATACTGCGTGACCAGATTTCGAATCTACGAACAGCGGTCGCACAAAATTTTACTGTTTTTCAAAACAAAAATGCACACAATTAAAATAAGCTTTACTTTGTAGGTTGTAGAGATTTTCACACTGTATCTTGTGGTATATTCTGTTTATTTTTAAGAAAACATATTAGGTGATAAAAAGATGAAATAAAAAAAAGCAATTTCTTGTTCATGTAGAAAAAATTGATCTTTTTCGCAGCATCGAAATTTGGTCGCTCAAAATTTTGACCACTTTGCAAGCAAAAAGTGCAATTATAGAAGAAGCGGTTTTGTGTAAATTGTAGAGCTTTTCATGCTGCACCTAATGGTCTGTTTTATTATTTTTTTTAAATTAAAAGATATCATATAAAAAAAATGAAATAACAAAAGAAACAACTTTTTTGCAGCGTCGAAAATTGGTCTCAAAGCGTTTCATCGATTTTAAAAAACAAAAGGCACATATATAAAATAAATTATTCTTTATAAATTGTAGAGCTTTTTACGCTGCATCCAATGCTATATACTGTTTTTTTTTTAAATAAAACACATCAGGTGGTAAATAAGAAAAAAAACGCATTCGTCATGTACTGAAAAAAAGATTTTTTCGCAGTGACGAAATCTGGTCGCTCAGAATTTTGTCGATTTTGAAAAGCAAAAAATGCAACTATAAAAATTGCAGTTGTATATAAATTGTAGAGCTTTTCACGCTGCATCCTATGGTCTATCTTATTAGTTTTTTAAATAAAAAATTTTAGATAATAAATAGAAAAAAAACGCATTGACCGTGTATTGAAAAAAGACTTTTTCGCAGCATCGAAATCTGATCGCTAAGAATTTACTCAATTTTGAAAGCAAAAAGTGCAGCTATAAAAAAAAGCGGTCGTATGTAAATTGTAGAGCTTTTCACGCTGCATCTTAGGGTATATTGTGTTTTATTAATACAATATATTAAGTAAATGAAAATTGAAATGCAAAGCGCGACCATTATTTCTGACGCACTCGTTACTTGTTAATTTCTTTTTGTTATCATTGTACTTATTATTTTTTTTGTTTTGTTATTATTTCAATGATCTGCTGTCATTAAATTCATCAATAAACCTATAGTGTGCTCTATAAAAATTTCTTTTAGAATATGGCGTTGGCCTTTAAGATCAGTTCGGGAGAAAATATTTGTTAAAAAAAATTTTCATTGTACCTGGGCCGGGCCAGGTCGAGCCATAAAAGTGTGGCCTGTTTCGAGCCCTGTGACACATATCATTCTGATAAGTCTCTAGATTGGTGTTCATTTATTCGATGTAACGTAATGGGTAAAATACTATTCGAATGAGAATGTCATTCAAACTGCTCTCGTATTTTATCCATACGAATGCATAATATATGTTTTAAAGAGAATATTAATAAATAAATGCACTACAATGATTGCATGGTCGATGTTTTCTAACTATGGTCACTTGAACTAACGGAGAATGTTGTATGATGGGTATAATGGTGTTTACTTTATTTTATATATGATCATTCCTTATATTTTTGATAAAATTTCTCATGGAGGCGTTTTTCATGCAATTATATCCTTGAGTAAGAAAACTATTTTAGCTAGATATAAATAAAACTTGTAGCATAATGAAAAGTAAATTTCATCTGAAAGCTTCTTATTGTTTCACGGTCAACATTCTTACTCGTTTCTGATTCTTATTTTTGGATTAATCACATACTCAACTATAGTTTTTTTTCATTAGCATTGAATGATGAAAAACATCATGATTATTATTTTAATCATTTATAATTACCTAAAAAATGTTTTTAACGGAACTTCTTCACAATTAATATGTAAAAAACGATAGAGTTGTTGATATTATTAAAGGTGAAGTTTACTAATATATGCTTTAGTTTGGAAATTACTAAATTGTATTAATGAATTTCAGTGATGAAAGGTGCAAATTGTAGTTTATTACAGTGATTGTGATCGAAAAGAAAAGGACAGCTCTCGTCAATTCAATTCTATTTCATATTAATTCTACTTATATTTTGGTCTTGTAAGTATATTTGTCATAGTTCGTAAGAAGAGAACGGCAATACTATAATGTATGTTACGATGTATGATAGAAGAGAGGCGTTATTAATATGGTTGCGACATCTCTAAAGGTAGAAAACGGTTGTTTTTTTTCTTTCTATCATAATTCAACTTTTCTTTTGAACCATATTGTACAAAATGAATTAGCCGTCAAATGACAAGGATTTATCTTTAAATCTGTAAGTTCTCTATTACAAACGTTTTTTCTTTTTCGATATTGATATTCATTTCATTGTATATCTTCTTAACCAAAGGAAAATGAGCATGTGTGACACAAAGATTTGTTCTTCAAACTCGAAACTGATCAATATTTGTTAGTTTTCTAGTTCATGCTATGACACCAAGAAAACAAGGGTGTTTTATTTTAATCTGATTTAAAAAAGAAAGCTATCCGAAAAAAAAACTAATTGTCCGCTGTTTGTCCTGAAACCGGTAGACGATCACGTATTTGATCAATACATTCCAATAAAATAGCCAAAAGAAGACAACATCTTCGAAAATTAAAAACAAATATAAAGATTGATAAATATAAACGAAATAATAAAGAAACTTACTCAACATGATCATGATTAATAAGATATTCTAATAATTCTTGATTTCGTTTCACTTTAATCATCATTGTTATAAATTCTAATGTTTGTTGTTCGATATTTTCTTTTATTAAATCAAATGTTCGATCAACCAAGGGTTGAATTTCATTTGAATTATTTAAAATACCCATCCAGAAGAAAAGATCATTTGATGATTTTATATTTCGTTTACATAATTCATTTAATAACTCATTATGTTCACCGGACCAATATAACATATGATAAATGAAATCATTTGTTGAATTGAAACCTGAAAAAAAGTAATATTTACAAATGAAAAGGAAACTTCGAAAAAAAAAACCTTTACTCTGTTGTTTTATTCTTTCAATCAAACTTATTTTATCTGGTAATAATGATAAATCTAGAAATATCGAGATAGTTTCAATAATCTAAAAGTTAAAAGTCTTATACCTGAAACAACTTGACGATCAGTTTCTGATGGCCATAATAAACGATATGCGAATGAATTTACTGCAGAGACAAAAAAAGAACAAGTATATAAACAATTTATTTCAACAAGATATCACTTACAATCGTTCATAATATTATTTGTTGATGAAATAAGATCATCAGCTTGATCAGCATTCATTTCATTTGTTATCATCTAGATATAAAATAAAAACTTATGAAAAATATATAGAAATTTATATTACTTTTGCTGCTCTTGTTTTTTCACGTTCAGCTCGATTTGGTCTTGGTTTATGATGTCGTTTTCTATGTTCACTATTACTACTAGTTTCTTCATCGTTCTCAATTGAATTAGTCATTATTGTTTGATCTGGTAATTGTGTATGTTGTTCAATATTCCAAATATGTAATGATTGATCACGAGAACCAGAGAGAATTATATTTGAATCATATGATGAAAAAATAAGAGAAAGAATACTATCCGAATGTTCAATGTAAATTTTCAATGGTGAATAAGTTTCAACATTCCATAACTAATTTTAAAATAAAACAAATAATTGAATAAGTCAATAATTCAAAAACATACTCGAATAGTTTTATCTTGTGAACCTGATGCAAGAAGAAAATCATTTGATGTACTCCATGCTAAACATTCAATATCACCTGTATGACCAATAAGATCATTTATAATACATGAATTTAAATCTAAAGAAATTATTAGTTATTAGTTAGACAATGAAAAATATCTAAATACCTAAAGTATTAATTAATCGAATATTTTGTTTATTATTAACAGCAAGCCAATATTGTTTGGATGATATATCAACAGATGATAATAAATATCGAGGATGATAATGAATAATAGTTGGTAAACAATTAATGAAATGATGATGAACAGATGCTAATGATGGACATGAACGAATTATTAAAGAACTAAAAATATTCAAATATATTGAAATAGAATTTAATAAGAAAAGAATAATTTTACCTATCAGAACAAATCACAGATAAAAATTTATGATCATCACTAAAAGCTACTGTTAATATTGAACTACTATTTGACTAAAATATCCAAAATACAAGCAAAAATTTAGTATTTTTCTTTTTCTTTTTTTTTCACTACATCTTACTTCATTCACTAATGATGTCAGATCAGTTGGTAAACAACCTTTATCTGGACTATCCCATCGATGAAATTTTCCATCTCCAATCGAATAAAGAATTGCTAATGTTTCATCTTCAGTAAAACTAGGTATTAAAGGACCCCAAAATAGTGCCGTTGGTGATCCTGGTTGTGTATATCTCCAATCATAGACAACACGTGAACGTCCCGTAAGTGTATCATAAAGTGCTACATGTCCCAAACGAGTAGAATAAGCAATACGACCTTCACGAATAGGATGCCAAGCTAAACGATAAATATCAGCTGGAATTGATTGCCAAAGAAACGAAAGAGAAGGTGAACCATATGAAGTTAAATCTAATATGCCAATATTTCCTGTATCAACACCCAATGCAATACAACCTAAAAGAAAAATAACATCACTTTTGAAGAAAACAATCGAGTAAAAACAATTCGAACTTGTTTGAAGAGGACATGCTTGAATAGCATTAACAGAACCAGGAATTGACACAAGAGGTTTAATTAATATTGATGATGAAAGATCACAAATACATAACTAAACAAAGAAAACATACAGAATTTATCTAAATCAACTAAAATATAATAAAAAAAAAATTTACTTTTCGATTAAATGAATAAGTAAATAAAATTTTTTCATCTTTGATAACAACAGAAAAAACAGGTTTACCAGCTGATACTGGTGGTGTTACATTTAATTGAGATTTTTCCATATGTGATGAATGACGAATATCAATCTTGATCAAATGACCACTAAAAAAACAAATACAAAAATATCGTTTTGAAAATTTCTTCCATCTTTTAGAAAGAAAAATATTCTGAATAAATCAATTTATATCTCTTCTTCTATGAACAATAAAATTTTACATAAATTCTCGAATTCAGTAATAAGTGTACTTGCAAAAAGACTATAACTATCACTAGATCTATCTATAGAGAAAATTTTGAGTTCAATCCACTAGCGTTATCTATTATATGTACATCAGGTAACAAAAGAAAATATTTTTTTTGTTGTCTTACTCCATATTTCCTGTTAATAAAGTATTTGCATCTATCCAAGCTAATGGATAATAAGTTTTGCATCTTGAATCATTTATATTCATATTTTTTGATTGTTTAACTAGCATTAATTGACCAAGAATTTTTCCACTTATATAATCACATACTTTAATAGAACCATGTCCATAACTTATATAAAATAGAGTACTACGATCTAAATAGATAAGAATTAAAAATTTTTTTTTAATCATCTGATTAATAAATCAAATAATAAAACCTAATGGAGACTCTGAATGAGCAAATTGAATTGAACAACATATTGTATTGGCTGAATCAAGTGATAATTTATGTAACATGTTTAAAGTATTTTTATCAAGATCAATATGACAAATACATATATAACCTGATTTATATCTAACAAAAAAATATGAAAATTTAAATATAATATCATTATTTAATATATTTCTTACGCAATAGCCATAATAAATTTTTGTTTATTTGCAATAGAAAAAAATTGAACTTCATCATTATGTTTATCAGATAAAGATTGATTAATAAATTTATTTAATTTTTCTTCTTTTCTATTCCATCGATAAATAGTTCCATGTTCATCTCCAATGATTAATTCTTCATCCGAAAGCCAAATTAATGCATTTGGTCTCTAGAATAAATTAATTCAACTGATCTATTTATTTTTTTCTAAATCATTTTTTTTTTTATTAACCTACCTCAAAAAAAGAATTATACTTACTCTTTGCAAATTTACTGTTGCTTTTTTTTGTACTGTTTTTCCTTCAATTGACCATAGAAGAACTCGTGAATTTGGAGCACCACCAGTTGTTAATAGATCTGGAATAGTAGGATGATATAGCATACATGATAAAGATTTCGAATGAGGAGAAAATTTCGTAATGAATGATAAATTTTGATTCGAATATGAATAAATATAAACTAAGTTTGATGACGTAGCTAAAGCAAGTTGATCAGAACATAATGAAACAGATATTGATTGACGACAAAATGGATTTAATGCACCAGGAAAACATATTGAAGCCATTTTATTATCTTCGAAAAACTAAAATTTAATTTAAAAAGAATGTTTCAACATAACATTTGTTTGATTAGTTGTTAATTTTTAACCAATAATATTATTTATCAATATTTCAAATGCATTAATGTGTCACGTCAAGTCTGAAATTACACCAGTTTTACATAATCAATCTAAGGACGAGAGAGAGAAAGAAAGCATTCACTAACGAATACGTGTATAAAAATTTAGAGGAAAAATATTGATTCGAACAGGAAGTCCAAAAACTGTGTGTCAAGATATAGAAAGAATGCGTTTCTGTTGCGATTAAAAGCAAAATAAGAAATGGTGATATTTTTGTTATTTTCTTCGCACTGTATAAACTGGAATGTATAACTATCTTATAACAATTATTATCTATTTTTCAAAGCCAATGACAAAAATAACGTCTTTATGCGAAGAGAAAGTTAGCAGAAACTAAGAATTCTTCAGAATTTTATAAAGGCTTGTAGTCTAAAAGTCCTTAGATGTATTGTCATTACGAAAAAATCTGTTATCGAATAACAACATTTTCTAATAAGATTTTTCGTAGCTTATTCATGCCGAAACTCTTGCTCTCAATCTTAAAGACGAAAAAATATATCTGTATTGACATCTATTTTAGGGTATGACAAGGAAACATACTACCGAATAGAATAGTGAATAAACGATTGATAATGAGCCCATTTCTATTTCAGAATAAAGTTATATATTTAAAACCAACAAAAGAGAAAACTTTTTAATATAATTTTTTTGAGAAAAAAGTTTCTCACTTGCATATAAATGCCATCATGAATTATAACGAGTTACACAAGCAAGTAAAATTGAATGAGACAACGTGTCGAATATTTCCCATCGATACTTTTATGTGCTTAGAATTCTTTTCGCAAAAATTGATCTGAGATTGTTGATAGATAGATGGAGAAATCAATTTACAAGGAAAATCCTTCAGCTGATCAACTGCTTTTTGGTCGAAACTATATACATCATTAGGGCTTGGTACTTCCAGTTTCTTTCAAGACAGGGAAGTTGAAAAACTTTCTTTTTTTGTCTTTCGTGTTCTACAAGAGAGGACTAGATCTTGTATGCTCTTCTAACGAGAAAACAGTTAAAGAAGTCAAAAAAAGAAATATCGAAAGCATAATAAAGAAATAAAATAGAAGAAAATCAAGACACAGGTCAACATATTGTTGTTTTGTTCCTTAAACAAGGGCTTTTATTGTATATTGAGCCTGGAAATTTTACGTTGTGGAAGTATTTGAGAACTTTATATTATTAAATAGAAAGTTTCATTTGTCGTCTACTATCAGTGCAAAAATCAGTTCATCAAATAGAATCATTCTGAGGATATAAAGTGTTCTTTTTGATCAATAAATTTTCAAACATCCTGTACTTTATTTGATTTAATGGAATCAAGAAAATAGTAGTTGTTGCATGAAGTGGAACAAATGCATAAAAAGGCATCGCTTTTTTTATGCCACATTCTTGATGAGATGGTGATGAGACTAATATTTACAGAAAAATCTGGGTGATGCGATGGCAAAACAGTTTCTTGATTACCTCGTGAGTCTCTGTTATTTATGACAAATTAGATGACTAGATCTTTATTTCGATAACATTACCAACGCTTTCTTTTGTCCATCAGATTCGCATATAATATAGAGTAATTTATGTCAACAAATATTAACAAATTTCAATCAATATTAGTAAGCCGATAAATACGCTCAAACTGTTTCAATAACATGGGATCTAAAATTAATGGTCAGTTTTCTGTTTCCTTTTTTAATCATCTAGTATGCTTATTTTAAAACAAAATATACCATAAGGCGCAGCGTGAAAAGTTTTACAAGATATATTAAAAGTCGGATTCTATAAATGCGCTCTTTATTGTTCAAAGGAACACTATTCTGTGTGACGAATTTTTGACATTTCAAACTTATTGATGTTTTCCAAAATGACCAATTGGCATTTTTTTAATCTCATTGATGAAAGACAATTCTATTCTTGGACGAAACATATCATTTGCATGTATTCATATTCTAAGTTGATAAGAGGCAGACAAACGACGAGATATAAATTCAACAGTGAAATACACAAAAAGAATATTGCTATGGTTACAAGCTTCTAAAAATGGCTTTACATCGCCGCTTATAGTTACATCTGGTCAAACATTATCTCATGAAAATCATTTTGAAGTTGTTCATCTGCATACACAACCTGAAAGTGGATGTCTACTTGATGATGATTTCATCTATCAACAAGACAACGCCGCATCACATACACATCAGGAATCCTTCACATGATTGGAAGAAAACTTCATGCACTTGATATACAATGTATCGATGTCATCAAACATTTCCAATCTCAATGTTCTAGATTATTATGTATGAGACGCTACTGCTAGCAATATGCAATGAAATAATGTTAAAAGCTATGCTTCATTAATTGATGAAATAAGAAAAGCGTTTCGTCGTGTAGCAATCGATGGTCTTATTTGCAGCATCAAAAAACTGGTCGCACAGTATTTTGTTCATTTTGACAACAAAACGTGAATATATAAAATAAGCTGTTCTTTGTAAATTTCAGAGCTTTGTACGTTGTATCTTATGATATAATTGTTTTTAAAATAAACATACTAAATAATAAAAAAAATTATAAAAACCGGTCAATCATTATGGGTCAACTGTTAGTCTTCTTATTTATTTATTGTTCTCATAAAATTTCATTAAAATAATAGATTAAAATTATTGAGAAAAATAGGTCACAATGGTTTCCATAATATTTCAGTATCATTCGGCACACTCACAATATTTGTTGGATAAATACCCGAATGATAGCTTTCTTGATCTTGTAGTCCAAATTCTTTGAGCAATTTATAGCGTACAGCCATCCATGCACGACGTTGTTCAATTAGAGGATAACGTTCTAAATGGGCTTCTCCTGTTTGGCTTTTCTCCTGAACATCTTTATACCAATCAGATGCTTCTGATGAAAAAAATTCTTCTGGAGTAGACATCGTATTATCATCTCGAAACAATGTTTTAGTTTTCCATTGTTGATAGCACATAGATAAATGTGGATGATATTGTTCATTACGAGGCCATCCATTAAAAGCCATAGGAAGATGATGTTGACTACAATGATGATGTTCTTCAAACGGATCCATTTTGGCTGGTAATTCACATTTGATGCCACAACCAGGACAACGTGATGTACAACCGACTAATTGATAGAGCAATGTTTCAAGACATTCATGAGTTATAGTTTGACTAAATTCTTCTCGAACCTTAGCCAATTGTTGTAATAGAACATTATCTGTTTCGCCTTCAAATAAAGTAAAATTGTTAAAATATTCTTTAAATTGATCTGGATTTTCAATTTTTTGTTCGATTTCAATTGTACTTGAAGCTTGAAAATCGGATATTGCAGAAGCAATCTAATTTAAAAAAAAAGCAATTAACGTTATATATTTTTGTTTTCTTCTATTCATTTAAATATTAAAACACTATGAAGATTATGATAAACTTAATCAAAGTGAAGTTATCTTGAGTAAAGACTGATGGGAAAATTTAACTTATACTTTGACTTTTTTCATCTATTTAAATATAAAAATACAAATGAATAAACCATTTTTAGTAGATAAAATCTACAAGAAGAAACATGTAACGGTTGAACACCGTTCGATCCTATCTTTTATCTGTGAGTAGGGCTTAATGAGACCAAAAAAACTCCTAAAGGAGTTCATACCCATGACATGGTTTGGCGAAGATCTCATTGCTTCATTGGTGTAAGAAAATAGAATTTGTTTTACTATTTCCTAAATTTTTTTCGTTACTCGAAGAGCATGGCCACTGAAGTTTTAAACATAGAAATTCGTATCCACATCCAACATCCCATTTTCTTATACCAATGTGGCAAGGAGATTTCCTTCTAAGCATACCATGGGCACGAACTCTTTTCGGGTCTTCTGAACTCCTCTGAACTCTACTCATAACTGAAAGATAAAGTTGAACAGCTTCTGACAGTTAGATATGTTTTCTCGTAATTACAAATTAAAGTATTCATAAAATAAAACGATGATAAGTTTTATTCTCAATAAATTGTATAACTAACCTCTTGAAGTATTTGTTTGTGTAATGTATAAGTGTCAGTACATTCGTTGTTCAAGACTATGTCTGTCATCATTAACATATAGGCAATGAATTTTGTAGTAACATCATCCGAATACATATTAATGAGATCTTGAGAAAAATTCTTAACAGTCAAATAAATATGTTGGTAACAAAAATAACTTGGATCTGAGATGAACTTCAATATAGCTAAAGGATTAATTGGTTGTGAAGCAATACTTTCTAAATACATTTGTTGAGTAATATCAGTCGGATGGAGTGAATAATATGTGTTAAACTTTGTACGAATCTCTTCAATTAATTTTTGTCGATTTATTCGTCTTAATTCGTGAATAATTTCTTTTCCAATTATGCGACGAAAAATTTTTGCTTGATTAATGACTTTTTCATCTTTATTCATTTGTTCAAGAAGATTTTCTTTTACTTGATTAAGATCACTAAGTGTTTCAGTTAATAATTGATTTAATTTTAGTTCAAATCGTTGATTTGTTTTTTCAACAAGTATATGTAAGGTAAATATAATAAGATCACGAATCAATGCAGGTCTGTAAATATGACTAAAATCTAATTTGGCCGAATGAAGTTCATAATCGATAATTTCAATAAGTTCATCTATCATTTTTGGATCTGAATATGCCAAATGTAAAGGAGATATATCAAGTCGATCGCTAATTCGATTAAGTAGTACACTAAAAATAAAATGTATTGTTTGTTGATTCTTCCTTGGTTCATTGAAATTATTAAACCAATGAACTACATTTTGACCTTCAAGTGGAATAGCAAAAGGTGATATATTCATAGATGTCATGAAAGGTGACCGAGGAGAAATAGTTACTAGTGATAAATTATCACGTCTACTCTGTTCAATGTATTTATTCACATATTTATTAATAATAACATCGAGTTCTTGAACTATTTCAATATATTTATTGTAGTCAAGCGGCGGACATAAATTATAAGTACTATTACGATGTTTGTTTTCATTTTTAGTTCGAATAACATTTTTATATACATCTAAAATAGATCTTGTAATAGTTTCTTTACTTCTTTTATATGCTTGAAGACTATCAGTGATTTCGTTTGTGAGTTCTTGAACACGTTGATTCAATCGCATAGAAAATTCATCGAGTGTTTTTATGGTAATTTTTATATTGAGTAATTCTCGTCGATAATAGTCTTGTCTTGTTTTTAATGCTGTTTCTAAAGCACGCATTTCAAGTTGTTCATATAGATATTGTTGCATATTTTTAATACTAGATTTAATAGTTTTTTCATGATTTTTCATATATTTAAAGTAACTATGTTGTGTTTGTTCTTCATAATCTTTTAAAGCATCTTCACTTTGTTCATCAATAATTTTACTTAATTCTGTACTTCCTTTTATGACAATTTGTTGAAGCCAAACATGTGGTTGTAAATTTTTACTTGTGTTTAAATTCGTATACATTAGTTGATCATTTGTTTTTATCAACTTTTCAATTAAATCACTTCCTATTCTTTGTAGTTGATTTTGTCGTTCGACAATAATACTAGCAGCAATAGATTTAAGTTCATTTTGAACACTTAATTCATATAGGCTCTGACAACGAAGTAAACCTTCTCCAAGATCATCAATGGATTTCCAATTCGTTGTTAATTTTGAATACAAAGAAACACCAAAATTTTTACGTAGATTCATAAAATTCGATGAGTTTCGTGGAGGAAAAGTCATATTTACTGTTTCATTCATTTGTTCTTCAAGGTTTTGAAATACATTCATACGAAGTTTATTAATTTCCATAGAAAATGTTTCTGTACGCCATTTTTGTACAATACCATAATCACGATTAGTATCTTCTGTAAATGCTCCAGGCATAAGAACAATATGTTTCATTTCAAGTTCATCATCAATAGACATTTGTAGAAATTGTCCATTTGTTTGAATATTGTCCTTTAATTTATTCAGTTGTTGTTGAAAAATTTTCATGTCTCGTTGAGTTTGATCACGTAAAACAAATAAAAGTTGTGGTTTGAAGGGTGAACTTTGAATTTGAATTTTAGCATATAAACTCATACCAATAAGATCTTCAAGACTCGAACTTATTTCACCTTTATGATTGACAAGTACGAGATTGGAAGAAAGTACAGCCATTGTGACTATTTGATTGTCAAAAATTGATCCTGATTCTTCTAATGACATGAGTCCTTCAGTATCGAGAATGATAATAGACATATTTTTATAATATGCAAGACCTAAAAATAATCATACAGATGAGAGTTGTGGATGATGAAACGACAAACTAAATACAACACATGCTTAAGTAAGAGAGAAACAAAGAGAGAAGATAAAGAGGAAATATAGATCAGCGAGAGGTGATATCAATATCAGCACAGCTGAGTGAAAGGAAGGCCCATACCTAGATATAAACCAATGGTGCAACGTCCAGCACTAACATGAAAATTGCAACCAAATGTTGAATTAAGTAAAGATGACTTAGCCGATGATTGTTCTCCAATAACAGTTAGAATGGCGACAGAATCTCCAAAATTCAATTTTTCCATGCACATTTTTAACAATTGACTATGACTTTGTAAAGGTCGACCACGAAGAATGTGTAAAGCAAAACCTTTGTAGACAAGTTCTGCTAATTTAGTAGCAACAAGATCGAATTTGTTTTGAAGTTTTCTTATTTCGCTCGACGATCGTGTTTTATGAATATTATCCCATAGAGAAAATAGTTCATCACAAAATAAACCAAATGTTAAATCAACATTCATTAAACGTCTATCAATATCTCTTAGATCAGTAAGTAATGTTTCATATTGTTGACGCAAGCTAGTTGCTTCAGATGATGTTGAGTTTTCTCGTTCGGTCTGTTTCAACTGTCGTGAGATTACTGAAGCCTTTTCACGTAAGACTTCCTGTTCTTTGCGCAAACTTGGCATATAAGCCCCTCGCCATTTTTCTAAATAAGCTTCGACCATAAGTAATTCAATATAAGTTCGATGATTAAGTAATGAAATAGTAAATTCATGATATTTATTGATTGTATTAGGTGTTTGAATATTTCGAGAAACATCATTTACTGTAGAATTTGATACAAGTCTTTCGGGTTTCAACGAGTCATACAATGATGCACGTGATATTTTACTTTGTGATTGTTGATAACTAATAGGTGTAACAAGAAGAAGATTTTCTGTTTTATCAGAAAGTTGTGAAAAAAGATGATCAAGTTCAGTTTCAATTTCGAACATAATTTTGATTGGTTTTAGATTAGAATATTTATCTAAAATATAAGAAAATACCTAATAAATCCCTCAAATTGCTTCCAATATTTACTTTCATAGAAGGACAACTGAATTTGAAAACAACTTCGAAATAATGATTGTTGTATATCTGGTTTAATTTGTGTTAGTAATTGATCAAATTTTTCACGCAAGCGCTTATTTCGTTGTGCTATCTTGCGTGCTGGCAGACTATTGTGTGAATTGAGTATTGGTGCTGATGTCCACTTTATATTAGTCCATTGTGTGAATTTCTCTTCAAAACGCTTAATAAGCTTTGTTGATAATTCAATATCATCATAATTATGATCAAAAACAACTATAATAGTTTGAATATTTGGAACAATTTGCATAACATTTGATTTTAAGAAATCTCCATTTAGATCTTCTTGAGTAACATAAATAATCTGAACATAAGTGTAAGGTTGAATTGATTGTATTAATCTGATATCTGTTGCTTTACCATGGATATCAAAAATAGTAAATTGATCAGCAAAGATAACATCCACACAACCATCTCTCCATGAATAATCAGCTATATCAGTAAAGAAAGATTCACGACGTTTATCATTAAATAAATATCCAATGAGACTTGTTTTGCCTAAACCAGAAGCAGATGGACTACCAAATTGCAGAACTACATGAAGATCAGTGATGCATAGTGTTTCCATCAAACAATTAAAATTGATTCGATGACTATTAGAATAAACAACAATGTACAAAATAAGTGATTACTTTCATAGAAAACTCGATTATTTAGTGGAATTCCTTAGATCGATACTGCTATTAATAAATTTCGAGGAAGATTGAAGTCTTAAATACTTATTTAATTTTTGTTCAATATCGAAAGAAAGATCAAGAATTTTACATCAATTACTTACTACATTGTTTTTTCTGTTGAATTCCAAAATTGATATGATAATGGAATAGGTAAATCATTTTTTCGAATGAAATTGCATAGAAAACGTTGACTATCATAAGACATATTCTCAAGAGTCTGAACAAGTAACATTCTTTTGGTGAGTTGATCGACGAGCATTTCATATTTATTACCAGCACCAGTTTCAACTAATGACTCAAGAGCGTCTGAGAGAAGAACTATTATGTCATTAAGAGCATGATATCGTTTAAGACTATCAACGACATATGCGGTCAAAGCTTCAGTTGTAGACGTTTGATTGCTCAAAATTTGACAAAGTATATTTGCATCGAGTGGGTCATTAACAATAGTATTGAATGTAGGATCCAATGAATCTTCTGGATTTTGACAATGAGGTTTAAGGATTTCGAAACATTGAATAATTGAAGAATCATTATAATCAACTTTGATTGAATATATGCAACGATTTGGTTTTAAAAAGTCTGGAATATTGATGTTAAAACTTTGATTTTCTACACTCGGTTCAGCTGAAATTTAAACAATAGTAAATTATTGCACGATATACTAAAAATCAGCAAGGGTTTTCGATTGCCGAACTATTTGTTTATGTTTAGGACATTTGAAGAAGTCTTAGCCTAATCAAAACCTATATGTGACAACTAACACTTCGTTTTTTTTACAGTATACAGTTGACAATGAGATTGAATTCTTGGACTAATTTTCCTTAACTGAAGCTTTCCTGCGATTGAACTGTCATGTGTCACAATACACTTGAATGAAATGTCCCACTCCCTTGTTTTTTATACTTAAAACTATTAAAGCATACTTTTTTCTTGATCATGGATATATAGCAAGAAAGTACAACCTACACGGCTTCGCATGATATATCAATCGTAAATGACGAGTAGAAATCAACCAGAGAACATATATCAGAAAAAAACATAGTATTTTTTCAACAAAAAATGTTACTTCAGTGATACTAGTATTTTCATATTTACAACATGAATGTAGATGTAGTTGTGGGTTGATGAAGAAAACATTCACATTCGTACACTCTCATACCTGCGCACTCACAAACCCTCGCAATAGCCATCATATCCACATACCCTTAAATTGCTATGGACTGAAAAAAACACATATACAGAGGATGCTTTAGTTGATTGAGACTGGCATCCGAAATACACGCAAAAGGGCACGACACTTTTAAGTAGCTCGACTACTAGAAGATTTCTAGTTTTATCACTGTGTTCATTAAGCCTATTATGTCGGTTTTGGTCATTATTACTGTTTAAATTTCTCTTTAAATACCAAGCAAATGAATTTAGCTGTGCAGAAACTAATAGAAAGTATGGAATCTAATTTTTTAGAATTGAATTTAATATTGATGTGCCCTCTTTAGTTTGACACTAATATAGCATGCAAAATACATTGTGGCAAATGGAAGATGTGAAAACGCTGAATATTATCGCGTGCTTATTAGACGTTTAGCAGTTTTTTTATTTTCAATCATTGTAAGCGCTGACGACAACACATGACTACTCCAAGGACATTTTCTGCTAGTGAGCTTTGAAATTTCCGATTCAGATAAATTTGCAAGTCCTATACAATGCTTTCGAATAGGAATCTTTGAATTTCACTTTAGTTTTGCTAGAAAGTTTTGATATATATTGTTCAAATTTTATTGTGTTTTCTACTCTTTGGCCGTTTTAAAAATTTCATAAAAAGACATTCGATAGGTTATCAAGATCGATTGATAACTTTCGAAAATGATAGGCAACCATACTTATTTTAAGTTTTTATATTTCTGTTTGTATTTTACTGAGAAACAATAGATCACTGAATAACATACCAGTAACTATAATAGATGGTAGAAGAGATGGGCTAATAGTATTTTCTCCAGATAAACGAATTACTTTGATTGTTACTGTATCTCCAGTATTTTGAAGAAATCGCACACATTCTGCATAAGACATAGATTTTACATCTTGTCCATTGATCTATAAAAACAGATAGAGTCTGATGAAAACTGTGATAAATTCTAATCCTATCACTTCAATCAAACGATCATCGTTACGCAACAAAGCTTTATGAGCAGAACCATTTTCCAATACGTTTATAATTTTATGTAAAGTTGGTAAATCTTCAGCAAGCCGAAACTTAGCGCCATCCTCTAAAATAAAATGTATCATTTCGTAATTTATGATCGTGTCGGTTCTTACCAATAGCACGACGAAGTGAAAACCCGAAGGTTTCTCCTTTCTTCCTCTTCAGTGTTACTGTTCGATAGTTCTGCATTTTATCCATCTGTTGTGTATGCAGACAATCGATGAATAAAATTGAATAGACTTTTTAACAAATATATATTGAAATGTGTAGTTGACTTGCAGAAACAGAATGTATTATGTTGGAAAAAAAAATTTTGAAACTGCGACGTCTTTTTATCAAGTCTAAAGGTAGATGTTCTTTTTTTTCTTTTTCGCTGTACCTTGCGTTCGTTACTTGTAATGATAAAGCAAAATTTTTTAACAAGATGAAATATTCTTTCACAAGTATAGTTTATTTTTCTCTATACTAGTAAAGTAAAACTTGGCTGTTGCGTTTTTTTCGAAACGGAAATTTATATTTACTTACAGCCTAGAATACCTTTTTGATGTTTGCCTACGGTCCAACAGAATAAATCCAAAGTTTTAATCAAGATCTCATTTGAATATAAGATATTTTATTTTGTTTTTAATTAATCTATATGAAAATTGAAAAGATTATATTTTATATAGAATAAATCATATATAATGCAAACAAGAGTCAATAAATCAACTAGTATTTATTAATTCCTTTTTCTAGCATATATTTTTCTTGCAATGAAAAGTACTTTCACATTGTGTTTATTTATTTTGCGCTACTTGACACACTCACGTTATGTCCTTCAGACATATTTTTGATAAAATTTACATCATTGTACAAACAAAGTTACAATGTCTTCACTTATTTATAACGTGAAACTTATGAATTGAATAATATAATTAAATAAGATCAGTAACGAAAAACTTCGTGTTTATACACGTAAAAAGTATATATGTTAATGCATTAAAATTTGCGCATTGTATGCGTAAAAATATGCATAGGTTTGTTATTTGTTTGTTCTGGAAATCAAATTTCCGATTAACTATGCATTCAAGAATATCATTCGAGAGAAGCAATGCGTAGATAGATAGACCTTTAAACTAATCGGCTGATCTGTTGTTGCCATCAATACCATAATGAGTCAGTCGCGCCGCTACCATTGCCGTAAATATTTTCTGAAAAACGTAGCCGCCGTCATCGGAACATAAACAGAAAATTATAGATTATTAAAAATTTTCGACATTCAAAATCAGTCTTTGAGAGTGTGTTTGCCTGTACATTCTCTTGCCATTATGTTCCATCTTTTTCATTTCAAAATTTCTTGGAACTAAGAAATTTTCTCAAAAAACATCAAGAACTTTTAATCACTAACGCTATCAATCAATGCATTGACCAATACCTTAAAGCCGAATAAGGCTTTCAAAATGGTTATTATACTCTTAACTTTTCGTTTGTTATTTATGATTGAAAAAGTTTTTGAATAAGTCATTTACCAATGATGCACTTTTAAAAAGTCATATTGCGCGACCAAAAATATCTTTACAATATATAGCTTCAAAAGATAAGCAAATCAGAACTTAATCCCTAAATAAAGAATATATGCAACACTAAACAACAAGAAAAACAACAAATTTTGTTGTATTGATTTTAATGTGTTACAGGACATAAGCATTATATAATCGGTTCATATATTTATAATAAATAGGACAGTTGTAAAGATGCATTTCGGTATAATTATGATGTCTCCAGAGTCAAATAAAGTACCATTTTTATAAGATCATAAATCACTTTTAGATAATTTGAAGAAAAACAAAGCTCTATAGATTCTCGAGTATTTCCGAATCCAAAATCCCTTGTTTTCTCTTGATAAACATGTATAAATTTATTACGCGATGATAAAATGTGATACTAACAAATTAAGGAAAAGAGAGAATACTGTTATGCCCTAGTGAAGATAGATGGCTGTACAAATTGAGATCTTCGCAAAAGCTCAAAACGTATGTATACGTTTCTCGTCGCCAAAGGATCTGTTGATTTTTCTTAATGAATAAACAGTCTGGCATTTTTATTCTATTTTAATATTGAAATACACAAGTAAAAGTAAAACTCATGACTTCTATTTTGAAAAAAAATTTTTATTTCATCTATCTTAACGTACAAGCGCAAAAAGAATTTCATATTGAGGTTTTTCTCTTATCTATATTTATTTAGTAACCTGGTATGCAATAAACATAATTAATATTACAACAACTGTAAAGAAATCCTTTCTCTCTTGAATGATGAAATTGGCAATGAAGAGAGATAAAATGAACTGAAGTAAATAATTTAATAAAAGGAAAAAAATGAATTAATCATCAAGATGAAAAACATAACAAAGAACAAAAACAAAATAAATTAATCATCAGGATGAAAAGGAACAAGTAAAAGAAAACAAAGAAGAAATTATTTATTAAATATTTACTATTTGTTCAATATCATCTACACGATTTTCAAGATCAGTAAGACGATGTTCAACTGTTTCTTTAAGTTGTTTAATTTCTTCAGTGATGCTGTTCAATAAATTTATAATAATATTATTGTCAAAATTGTTATTATTACTATTCTTTGCATTATTATTATTATTACCATTATTTGGATTATTTTCATGTCACCACTTTTTTACGAACTGCGTCGTAGTAATCGTATCGTACCATCCGCTGTAACTGGTACTGACCAATTATAAGCGACTCCTTTTTATTTATAATTGGTCACACTCCAGCGCTAAAAGTTAGCCACGTAAACGCTGTATAACAAGCAGTCTCGAATGAGACTTTGGTTCATAATTCATTCTACTGCAACAAGTAGAATAAATATTCCGAAAATAATTTTAATTTTTCTTGTTTTTATTAGTGATTTTATTAATTTTTTTACATTTCTTATTTTTAAATTTTTTCAAGTTTTTTCATTTTTTTTGATATTTATTTTTTTATTGTTCTAGATATTAATTTTTATTTTCAATTTTTTAATTTTTTCAAAATCAAACATTTTTTATATATTAATGTTATTTTGCTAGATATTTATTCTTTTAATTTTTAAGTGTTTAATTTTTTTAAAATTTAATATTAAAAATTTTGTATGTAGTCGTTTTAATTTAAAAAACTTTTTTTATTAGTAATATTTTTTTTAAAGTTTTTTTTAAGTTTTTTATTTTGCTGGATTTTTGAATTTTTAATGTTTTCAAATGTTTTAATCTTTTTGTATGGTGAAAGTTTCTTTAACATTCACAGTAAAAAAATTAATAAAATGAAAATCTCATTTGTGATCTCTTTTAGAAACTGCGATCGCACTGTGACCAGTAATTTCAAAAAATTGCGACGCAGTTACGCGTAACTGTGATTCTTTTGTCGCAGTTATGTGCAACTGCGATTTTTTCATTGCAGTTACGCGTAACTGCGTGGCAATTTGGCCGCAGTCGAACACATGGGTTATTATTATTACCATTATTTGCATTATTATTAGTATTACTATTATTTACATTATTATTATTATTATTATTTGTTGTTGTTATTGATTGATTGTTGTCCTGAAAAAAAACTTATCAATGCAACCCCCAACTGTGACTAAAATATGGAACTCACATATCTTCTCTAACAATACAAATTATCTGGAATGAATAGTCCCTAACAGACGATAGTTGTATTCTGCAGATGATCGCTCGTCAAATACTCGATGTCTTATTTATTGCTGCATTTAAAACAAACAGTTTTCTAATTTCTTTTGTGGGTGCTCTATTTTTACTTGCGTTGTTCCTATGGGCTGCTCATTTATTCTCTTTTTTCATTTGCTTTTCATAATTTACTATTATAATATTTGTCTAATCATTGATTTGACGAACAGATAATCCTGTTGTACATAGTTATTTAATCCTACAACAATCGTCGACTCACTATTATGTATCTCGATAAACTCAAAATGAACATTTTGATTATTCTCGAAAATTAGAACTTGATCAATTTATTCTTTTTATGTTAGTCCTATTTTGACTCTAATGCATCAATGATAGGACACTCGTAATTATTGACAATTACATTAGGATCATTTTGCTGTATTGAATCTCAAAGCTTGCAGTAATCAGGCTGGTTAGAATCTACAGTAGAAATCTGAGATTCAACCAATGCTTTGGGATATTCTAGAAAGCGCCAGAATGGGCGAAGCATGATTATGAATGAGGCGCTATTTCCCGTTGCTAAGGACACCTACCCGTTATCTATAGAACCCGTCTTTCGCTTCCTTACACTTACTATTTTCCTTCAAAAAATTGATGTGAATTCCATAAAATAACTGAAAGAAAATGATTACACTCACGTTTGAATCAATTTCATCATCAGTAGAATAGACGAGACTCTTTTCTCTGCACATATTGTTCAATGCATAATAACAAATGTATCTATCACGATTGCTTTTATATGCATAATGAACAATAGGTGAATTTTATCGTCCACGGGAAAAGAATAGCTATATTTACCCTTTCATTAATGGCCTTTATTCTCAGAAGTTTAAGATGTTTATATTCTCTAGACTGAACGGCTAGGGTCTAGAAACGGAAATTCACCTGTGTCTGTCTGTCTGTCTGTTTGTCTGTAATACTTGGTATGACCATTTTCGTGGTACAAAGTACCATAGTGATGGTACAGATGACCAATTTCGTGGTACAAAGTACCATAGCCATGATACAAGTGACCATTTTCGTAGGACAAAAGTACCGCTTTGGTGGTACAGGGACCACTTATTTGACACAATTGGCCATTTTCATTATACAGATGACCGTTTGTATGGCTCAATTCAGTATTTTAACGGTACAATCAACCATTTCTATGGCACAGTTGACCATTCTTATGGCTCAAATTATCATGTCTGTGTCACAATTGGCCATGTCCCCATTAGAAATGGCCATTACTTTGACATATATCACCATGTTAGTCGTTATAATTAACTAAAGCATAAGCTTTTTCATATTCATTAGCATCTTTTAATATTTTTTGTGAACTATTTGAATTCATGTATAGTATGTAATATAGAAAATGTTACA